TTGTATTTTAAATACTTTATTTAATAATCTAATTTAAAATTTATTCATTTACATAAACCATGTAAATTTATTATTAATGTATGTTTATTATATTTTTAGTGTGTTTATAACACATCTCTAGTATTGTGAGAATAATCAGTCTGATACAAAAGTCATTTTACTTGCTACAAGACTGAGTTCAAGAATCTAGAGCATGTTTTGAGTAAATCAACCTTAATGGGATTATAAAAAGAGCCAAACATACAGTGTGATGTCCTACAGATAAATTTTGGTGCCTGAGATATCTTCCTGAGTCTTGCTTATCTGAGGATCCATATAAGCAATTAAGATATTACAGCTAAAATTAGACAATGCACATCCTTTTAACCATTACAGAAGCAAAATAAATGTATTGACTTAAAGCTCAAGCAACTTTCAAGAAGCAAAGAATCACATTTTGCTTTCATTCCCCCTTGAGTATAGCTTATAGCTGATGAAATTATGAACAGCTGTATCTGATCAGACCAAAGGTCTGTTCAGCCATGTAATTTCTGAGTCTCATGGAAATTACCATATGTTAGGGATGCTAGGCAGAAAATCACAGAATTGCTCTTGAGTTGTTGTGGCCTCATCTAGAAGGAGAATGGAGAGTGTTGTCTGCTGCTGTGGATACTCCCACACACTAGTTTCATAGCTGGGGTTCCACTGTCAAGATGCACCAGGAAGACAGACTGCAGGAAGGATGATTTCTATCTATTGCAGAGGTGACAGACAATATTTCAGAAGTGTTTTTCAGTGAAACTGATATACCATATCAAAGTGGACTTGACACTGCCGGGCTAATGTTGGACTCAATGAGCTTAGAGGTTTTTTTCAACCATAATGATTCTATGATTCTACAAAGTTCCTAAAACTAAAACCAGCTTGGGAGGGCAGAACTTTTTAGTCACATGTCGTTTGACAAAGTCCTATACCTGTAATATCACTAATCTTTCATGGATATTACTGGGTCTGCAGGTAATGATGAAGGAAGTGTCCTGCCTAATCCAGATGGTTCTACTGAGTTTCCTCTTATAATAATGTGTGCCTTATTCCTATGCTTATAATTTATGTTGACAGCTGATATTGTTCAGTTCCATAAAAGGTAACAAATGTGTGCTTTGTTTCTTCTCACCCAGCCTTTGCTCCAGCTTCCCTTGTCTGAGTAGATATTCAGAATAGGAAACCTTGAAGATCAGCCTCTCCTAGAAACAGTAGCTTTCTGACATCTCTACAGCATGTCTACCGACTAGTGACAGAGCAAACTAAGGCATCTTTTACCTTCTGCTTTCACACTTTTTGGTTATAATGTAGATGTTCCCTTCGTCAGCAAACTGAACACAGAAAATGTTCTGATTGTTGTGAATTGCTTGTGTAGAAGTTTTGCTCTCAGCTGAAAGTTCTTTTTCTTTTCCAAATTCCTCAATGCTTCTGTTCAGCTGGTTATGAATCCTTTGTTCGCACAGTTGCTCTTGCATTCACTTAAATTTTTTAAGATGTCTGCTAGCCAAAATGCCATGATATCTAACATTCCTATGAATATTTAAAAAAATTACCTAGGTGTATACTTCCCAAAAATTGATCTTAGACTCAGATGAATGTTGAATCTTTATTAAAAATTCTTTATCTCTTTAATCTCCAATCTCAGAAGCATCAACACATTCTCATAAAAGTAACTTTGTTTGTCGTCCAGACTCTGCATAAAACTCTGAATTTAATAAATGTTTAAATAACCCATTTTTCATTGAAGAACCAGAAGAAAGTATACTGGACTTTATCATGTTTTCTGTTTACAAGGATCAGTTTGTGGTAATTCCATTTGAATTCTAATCCCTATATTGAATTTAAGGTTGTTGATTTTTTATCTTTTTCTGTGTCGGAATTAGTTGTGTGCCAGGTGGACATGGAAGATGATTGAGAAATCAGACACAACTGCTAGTGTTTGTAATCATATCTAAACTTGTAATACTGGAGAGTAAGTCAAACTCTCTACAAATTCAAAACAGGTTTTATTTTGAAATATAATCTCTATTACTGTTAATCTGGATTACAGAACCATAATTTTCTGTATTTTTACAGCATGTACTGCCCAATATTTTCATGTAATGCATCTTCACTACAGTTAAAATGTACAATTTTAGGTTTTGTACCATTTTAAATGTAGCTGGTTTAATGATAGTTTCAATTATATAGCTGCTGTGCACCAAGCATTTGTTGTAAACCATCATTACATACCATGTATATATGAATATGATATATATTTTTCATCTATGTACTTTAAATGAAGGAATTTCACAGAAACTTAATACTTTAATTGAGAATTATACATCTGAATTTACAAATAAATAGTTTTCCTGAGCACAAGATGAGAAAAGAGTTTGTCATGGATATCTCTTAACCTGATTAAAGCTGTTATGTGGCCAACTCCAGTCTAGGATGAAGCAGAATAACAATACAGTCAGAAGTAGCAAAGCTAAACAGCTTTTCTAGTAGCCATGTGTTTGATAAAAATTACCTTTCCAAACAGAATTTAGAAGATAGATTTTCATACATGATTCTCTGGGCTGAAGTATGCATTATTCAAGCAGGTATGATTTGCTGAAAATAGTGATGGCTCTACAAGTTGGATATTAGAATTTCAAAGTGCTTCCTTTGTTCATGCATAATATTCTAAGACTTGACATTGTTTTTATTAGTAGTACTATTAAAGATTCAGACATTTTATGAGATGTGTGTGTTGGTAGAGTGTTTTTGGAACACAGCAATTTGCTTTACAGCTAAGATAATACCCTAATACATTGCAAATGCAACTTCTTGCTCCTATTTCAACTGGGAAATGAAAATGAAACTAAACAGAATTCCATTTTGATAGCACTGAGTACTCTGTAGGCAGTTCAACTTTTCGAAACCAGTTTTATAACATCCACACCTGGTTCTGTGTCAAAGAGACAGATGCAGCATGTATTAAGTTTTTTAGTAATCTCTCAAGTGCCTTGAACACACTAACTACCATTTCAGCAATAAGTAATACCACTATTGAATCCTGAGTGAAACATGAAGTAAAAGCCCATTTATTTTAGCATTAAAATTTATTTACTTCCCATAATGGTATTTTGGACTAGCTGAATTCTAAATGTGCTTTTATACAACATGATTCCGAAACAGCACAAATAGCACCTAAAATATACGCATTCCTTAGTCAAAGTTCCAGACCATTGTTATTTAAGTAATTTTCAATGAAAACCTATATTATCCTAAATACATCACAAGTTTTTAAAAGCCGTTATTGAAACATGGGCTGTCACTTAGAGTGATATAAAATGACTAAGAATGTGGCAGGTCTTTTCTCTTTTTGATTTCTGACACTTTTTTTGTTAATTTCTTTTCCTTACAGAGCTAACAACTTTGATGGGTGTAAATTAGTAATGTCGCAGTACTTAAAATGCCACTTTCTTTTAGGTGGCTAAGCTATCATCAGCTCTTAAATAAAGATGAAACTATTTAGTATTAAGTTATTTGTACTTATGCTTTGGTTTCCTGAACCATAAGTATGGTGGCAGGACAAGGGCACCCCCAAACCTCTACATCTGAAATCTGAAATCTGCTCCTGTTTTTACAAAGATTTTGTATTTTTTCAAATCAAAGCAAACAACTTGATTAACACATTTTTAAAAAACTTCCGTGAGGGTGGGGAGTGGGAAAAAATACCACTTTACACATTTACAGAATAAACATATCTAAATTCAACAAAATGCATCATCACAAGTATTTTGATAATTCTTTTTCCTTTTCTTTTTTCTTTGTGAATCAAAAATAGCCAGAATTTTTTTACAGTACAAACATAAGTTTTTCTGGAAGTAAGAGTAATTGTTTTGATCCCATGGCTGATTCTGCAAATTATGAGCTGCTAAGGCAATTCCTTGACCAAAACTCATTATCACAGTTTTTATATTCCTTATTACATATTTTGGTACTATGCATTTGCACATTAAACTAAAAACTTACATATTATGGAGCAGGAAATTTGTACAAACTTTTAAACCAGATTATAAAAATTAAATAACATATATAAATTTATTTGTCCATAATGCCCTCCACATAATTCTTACACATATAGATTTATTCCAGGAATGCATTACAAGGTTAATTAGGGATCATAGAGAAAATTTCAGATTAGTATTCTGTAAAATAATGTATCGTGCCTTATGCCATGTCATGCCATTGCAGTTGGTTGCTTTTCAACACCATTTTCAGAAATTATGTTTGCTTTCACTTATTAATAAAATAAAATTTCCAGAAACAATTTAGTACACAAAACATTGGAGAGTAAGAATAAGACATGTAAATTGAAAAGCATAGTAAATTTAAAAGTCTTAGTTACCTGCAAACTTTCTTCATTGCAGTTAGATCATTCCATAAGTCTGTTCAATTCCAGAATTATTTTAGGATTTTTAAGCTTTGAGATATTTGGGAATATTGTTTCATAAAATATGACATACATTTTGACATCTTAGTCCATGGTTTTTGTCTGTTTTGGTGTTTTGTTGTGTTGTTTTTGTTATTGTATTCTCTAAGTTTGCAGTAGAACTGAATGAAAAATACCGTTTTCTGCTGTGCTGATTTGTATGTCTTGATGGAATAGGGTCATGTGTTATCTTTATTTGTTCATTGGCAAGAAACTGCAATTTAAACTGAACAAATCCCAGAAAGCTGTCTGAATTGGCATTTCAAGATCTCAGTGTTTAAGTACATTCTAAATTTTAGTGCTGATTTCCACATAATGCTGAAATAGGTGTTTTTCATAGTTATTTCTGTAAACTATTTTAACAGTACTTTATAATGCAAATTATCTATCAGGCTTACAGAAAGCGAAATATTTTCATAAAGCATCATGTGTTCAATATGTTTTGGATATTCAATTTATGCCGATGATTAATTCTTACAAAATATATTAGAGGTAATGATAATTTCCTTGATTTCAGGAGCTGATGCTGTGGAAGCTCAGTGTAAGAGATTTGAAGTGAGAGCAAGTGACAGTGGAAGAGTATTGTTTTCTGCAGATGAAGATGAGATTGTCATTGGAGCCGACAGACTGAAAGTAACAGGTATGGTAATAATAAAGATTCAGAATGCATGTAAACATATATTTTTTATTACCTTTAGTAGTAATTAAACTATCAATCTTTTACAAAATTTTAGTCCACTGGAGAAGAAAACATCTTCTCATTATCAGAGATTTTTGACCAACCAAAAGATACTGTATAATCTAAATATCAATTCCTCTAAAGGTAGATTTAAATTTAAACTCTGCAGGATCAACTGTGGTACCAATCACACTTACTACTGTGTTTTGGCTTTTATATGCTACCATTAAGAATTGTTTTGTGCTGTGTGTGCCATTTGTTTAGGTAATGCTCCTTCAAAATGACAAAAAATATTATATATATTGTAGCCTTTGTTTTTTCTGTATACATAGCATCAAGTCTAACTTCCATATGAATTAAGGTTTCATGAGGCTCAGCTGAAAAACCTTGCCTTGACTTGGGTATATTAGTTTGTAATGAAATACAGGTTACTGTTACAGTTTCAACACATCCAGCAACTAAACCGTGCACTCACTCCTCCACCGGTGCGGGTGGGGGAGAAAATTGAAGGATGAAAATAAAAAAAAACCTAATGGGTGGAGATAAAGACAGTTCATTAGGTAAAGGAAAAGTCACACACACAAGCAAAGCAAAACGAGGAATTAATTCACTGCTTTCCATGGGCAGTGAGGTATTCAGCAATCTGCAGGAAAGCAGGACCCCATTGTGCATAATGTGGAAAAAGAGAATCATACTGAATCCTGCTAAGGCTCAAACTTAGTCATAATACTAAATGCTGAGAAAATTAATTTTAAATGTACAATTGACACAGGAGATTTCAAGGTATGTATCATAAGTTGAAAAATAAAACAACTTATAAATGGCACTAAGAATTAGATTCCCTGCCAGTGAGAAATGCAATCATAAGTTTTTGATGTCATGATTGTTATTTTTTAATCAAATATTTGGCACCATAAGCATAAATTTTGTCCAAAGAGTGTGTGATACCTTTAAATTCTTCAGCAAACACATGAAAGGTGATGAGTCCCTGTGAGCAACATCAATCAGACTGTATTACTTCACATGACATGATATGACTGATGAAACCTGGCAGGAAATCATAATGTCAAACATCAACCAGAATTTTTTTCTTTAGTTTAGTTTTCTCAAGCTTGTGTTTTTTACTATCGTGGCGCCTTGGGGTGAATATAGGAAAGAAATTATGGAAGAAGAAATAAAACAAATGTTGAATATAAAAAAAGGGAAAATAAGAAGTGCTTATTTGGAGATAAATCTCTCACATGTATTTTTTTAAGGGTAGTACTACAATGAAATTATTTTCTTTTCTTCTGTAGCAATCAATAGTATCTCTTTGAAAGCAGTTCACTGTGAATGTATCCAATAAATTATTTATTTTGGTAATTAATTTCCAAAGTATGCTTATGGGCATTTGTAAACTACGATGGCAATGTGGGATTTTTTGTATATTATTTTTCCTCCATTCAGAAGAATGTTTTTTAATGCTAAGCTTTTAAAAGCAGTCTATCATAAGTCAGTCTAAGAAACTCTTGATTAATAAAAACTGAAAGATTAAATTGACAGCTTCTCACTGATTATTTTTGGTAAAATTTTATTCGTCATTTTCTATGTAGGCAGCCTATTCCAAGCAGAAAAGGATAGTAGAAACAGGGTAGATATCAATTTATTTCCCAGATAAGAAAAATTAGTATCAGAAGTAGTACTTTTTGGTTTAGAGATATTGCAGTTATATATTTGTATAATAAGAGTCTCTCACTTTAAAATTAGGCAATTGGCTGGTTTAGTTTAACTTCTTATACTTTCTCACAATTGCTAGTTTTGCTTTTTCTTTTAACTGCATAAGCTCCTTTTTGCTTTATTACTCAAGGAAAGGAGAAGAAGGATTCAAATTTTGTGTTAGAGAGAGCTGTTAAAATTGCAGCTGTCTATTGTCCTTTTGCACAGAGATGCCTCCTGCCAACAAGTTTAATGTGTATCATGGAGCTTTAAAGGGAGGAAAGAGAAAGGACTGATGAAGTGAACATATTGTTAAAGAACTGGGGAAACAGGTAGTAACAAGAGACTCATTTTCTGGTGGGCTCACCGATTCCTTTCTGCACGTGGTTAAACCTTTCTCCATTTTTTGTGTTCACCCTGCTGTTCCAAGCATCTATAGCATCACAGGTCTCTCTGCACCTATAGAACAAGAGCATCTGTTTGGTTTTTACTTCTCTTATTTAAATCTTTGTTCAAAATTTTCTTCCCTTGGCTTTTATTTAAATTTTCTTATAACTGGAATGTGATCTCTGTAAGATACTCTTGTAACTGTTACAAGAACCTTGTTCATGAGAGTACAAGCACACGTCTGGCAGCTTTGTCCTGCCAGAGCCTTTTGAGAAAAATTAAGAATCCCTTAGGTCAGTGTACATTTTCCTGAGACAATGCTGTGAAATAAAGTTTAGTAAAAACCTTCACTGTATGGCTCTGTTAGTATAGTTTGGGTTTGTTTTTTTTTTTCCTTTTTTTTCTTAAAGCATACTCATGGTTAGCAGCTATATAAGAAGGATGAAGGAACCTGGAATTCACCTAGTTTCAGTCAAACTGCACCTAGTCTTTCTTGACAATGTAAATGAGGTTTTTACTACTTTGTCTTCTGAGGTGGCTTTCTTTGTAAATATAGTTTGGGTTTATTTTTTTTTTTCCTTTTTTTTCCTTAAAGCATACTCATAGTTAGCAGCTGTATAAGAAGGATGAAGGAACCTGGAACTCACCTAGTTTTAGTCAAACTGCACCTACTCTTTCTTGACAATGTAAATGAGGTTTTTACTACTTTGTCTTCTGAGGTGGCTTTCTTTGTAAGGGCTAAATTCACACTACCAGAAATTTTCTTTTTTTTTCATTCAAGTCATAGTTTTCCATCCAAATTTTATAACTATTTTGCTTTTTGGAAAGGTTATTTCTCTCTCTGATTTCAAAGGAGAAGAGATGGTAATTTAACTCTCATGTTGTCTCCTACAACTTCTTTTGATCTATGTAATTCCTTCACTTTTCTATAATGTTCTTTATTTAAACATGATTTTATCTCTGACCCTTCTTCTGAGACCCATAAAAACTCTAGTATAATTTCTTTTGTTTCAGGTTTACATAGCTTCTGTATAAGTTATACTTGCACATGTGGCTTTTTATGTTTATTAATTATCCTTTAAAAATTCAAAGCAAAAATAGATTTACAAATTAAATTAGATAGGTCATCAATCAGAAGCCATTACTGTTCTGCAGTCAAATCCAATTATGTTTTCTAGATGTAGCAAATCAGCTATATAATTTTCTCCAAATAACCCAGTCTAAATTGTTTTGAAAATATTACTTACCTTTAAGGAAATTGAATTAATCTTGTTTTCTAGTACTTCCTTAATTGCTGGATTATTTTATTTCTTAGTGCTGCATATCTGGGTGGTGTAGTCTGCTTTAGTCCAGGACTTGAAGTCCTTTTGGGATAGAACTGAATTTTTTTATTATGATAATTAACAAGTCAACAGTAATCGTTTTGCTCTAAAAAGAAATAAGGAGCTACTTAGAAATTTGTCAGTCATAGTTTTACCAAGATTTTAGTTTTGTAGAGTTCAACCACTTCATAATTTTTGGAAACACAAATTTTTCAGATACATGAAGTTCCACATCTGTATTGTATGACCTGATCTAATTGGTTGAAGATCACTTTTTTCCCATATTTCAAACATACAAATAGGTCTCACTGGGGGAATTGCAGTTGTACAAAGGTTTGCACATTGTTGCTAGCAGTACTAGGAGAAACCAAAGAGGCATAAAAAATTGCAGGTTATTATGACTTCCTAAGACCCTTCTTCCTTGTCAAATAGCACAATCATGTGGAAAAATGGAAGTTGGAAAAGAACAGTAGAGCACATACTGTGGTAGCTTTCTCAGATTAATAACAGGATGTATATAGGGCAAATATACTTTTACACCAAAACAGTTTCAGGAAAAAGTATGTGATGGGCTGCAAGTATCTTTTTCATTACAATGAAGTATATGCTTACAGTGGGCTCAGTCTGGCTTTTGATCAGTCATTGACTTCACTCGATGAAGGATGAGAGCCTTGATGTGTCAAGGAAGCTTCAGAAGGTTCCAGCATGCCTATATTCCAATAGTATTCTAATAATAATCAGAATTAATATGCAGAGGAGTGCATCAATACTCCAGTTTTGATTTTTAGACTATGCTGCAGGACTGGAAGTCTGCAGGTAATTGAAATATAGAAAGGTCTTCCAAGGTAGTTAAAAGGAAATGATAAAATAGAAATACGGCTTATGGCTATAAAAAGGAAATATGACAGAATTATGAGGAAATATATGTGAATTGCAAATTAGGTTGGAGAAGTAGAAATAAAATATTTATAAGAAGTACTGAAATGTAGAAAAATAACTTATTATTTGATGTATGTGGTTATTACAGTAGACTTATATCTAGTGCATTGAGAGACTGAATAGGAATTTCAGTATGAATGGGAAAGATCTTCGATTTTCCACGTTCAGTGGGTGGATTGTCATTCAGGACAGATGGAGTTTGGAGAGTGAAGTGGCATGAGATGAAGGGAAGCATTTAATCATTTTAAGGTGGCTTATGGAGCCAAACTATCTGACCCCAGTAAAACAGTATTTGATGTGGTGCTAAAATTTAATCCTTTAAGCAGATATGACTAATTCTTGGTATCCTGAACAGTGAGTGAACCTGAAATCTTTTGTCATCATCTGTCAGTAACAAAAATGCATCACATATACAGGATTTCTGTGTTTCCTGAGTAATGAGTACATTAACATATACTCCAGTGATGAATAAGGTTTCTGATAAGCTTATTTAGGTCTCAAGCACTTAATGTCTATTCTTGCCTTTGAGGGAGCTCTGACTGAAGGATATTATTGTGGTAGTCTAACTACTTGACAAAACAACCTGTCAGGGCCTGACTCTGGAGGTACAACTACAGA